TGTCTTGCTGTTCGGGTCGAAAACTAAAGAAGCCATCCGTACTTTCGCTGTGGGAGGTGGAGGCACGTTAACTTACTGGACAGCAGCCTTAAACTCTTCTTTCTCCTACCGCACGGCATTGATTTGAGCCGTGTTTATTTCACTGGCTTGTCTTAAAGCGTTGATTTGCTCGACACTTGCCTCATTAGCTTAGCGCATGATATTGAACTGCTCCTACATCTTCTCACGCATTTTTTGCATGAATTCTAGTTGTTGCAACTAAGTGGCATTTAATCCTATTGCCATCCTGGAGCGAGGTCGCATGTATCAAAAACTCAGAACGTTGGTGAGAAGGTTTTTGTAAACCTTCCTATAGACGGCGCCAAAGTGTAAGTGCATAAATTCTCAGACTGAGTACAGGGGTTCAATCTAAGAATTCCAATGCTCGAACACTCAATCAAGATCAAATGAAAGTTGCTAAATACTCAAGAATATTCAGAAGAAGGAAGAAAAATCATTTAGCCGAGAATGGCTTGCCTTTTTATTAGAATCATTCTTCCCTATTTATAATATGTACAATAACGCTTCGAGAGCTTTTTTAGCCCCCTTTCCCTCGTAATATTGAATTGCCCTAGATATCTTGCCATAATTCCTTTCGTGTGGCTTTAGTTACTGTATTTGAATTATATTCGGTTATGGGCCACTTAAGTCCTAGTCTTCTTTTCGGGACCATTTGCTTTGTGGGATATTTCATCTGGCTATTAGGTCGTCCTAGAAGTTGGGCTTTGGCCTTCTGGTTTGACTATTGGGCCATCCTCCCTAGTCAGGGGATGTACACGTGGAGCTTTATGGTTAGTGGGGAAATTTCCCTCCACACAAAGCTAATTGATATCTTCATAAATCTTTTATTCTTCTCTTTGTCCTCCACAATCAATTATTCCCACCATTGAATTTGTTTTACCATAAATTAGACATATATGATTCTTACTGATGCAATATGCAAATAATCAGTGGTTCAAAAGATCATAGGGACGAGATCAGTGCTTAAACCGATCAAATTCCAATAATAAGTCTGCGAAAGTGTTCATCAAAATGCTACACATAAAGCCTTCATGGCGAGCAGCCATTGAAAAAATGTTGGTGGCTTAGATAGATGGGTTCGACAGCAATGATGGTGAAGACTAGGTGGTATTGTTCTTACCCCCAATAGATTACGGCTTGTTTGTCATTGGCATCAATCCATATTCTCTTAAAGCAACGGGGAATGGCCCCATTGATCCAAACCCATGTGCGAATCTAGTGGAAATATAGAGAACCATTTATGGAAAGAGAAGATACAGCGTAAATTTGGAGAACCCATAAATTTAAGAATTATTTAAAACTCACTGCCATGTTTAAACGAGTATTGTTTGAAACTGCTATTGTTTACCCAAAATTTTCTCTAAAAAATCCTTAGTATATATGATAGTTGCGTAATGGAGGAGAAGAAAGTGATAGAATTTCCCTTGGAGGGAGAAAGGAAAAGAAGACATTGATAGCTAGATAAATGGGTTTTGTTAACAATGTGAGAGAGAGGATAGAGGGAGGAATTGTGTGGCGACCTATGTGGGCGGGTGCGAGGCACTGTCATGCTACCACACTGGGCGAGTTACAGGTGCACATCCCACATCGCCTAGTTGTGAAAAGGGGAGGTGCTATATGTAGGTCCACATCGTCTAGGTGTGGAAAGGGGAACTACTATATGTAGGTTTAACATCCTTCTATGACACAACGCATTTTAAAGCCGTGATGGCTATGAACCTATCAGAACTCCGGTGTTAAGCGTGCTTAACCTAGAGTAGTACCAGGAACCAAACCGGAAGTGTGGCCAATGAGGACGTTGGGCCCATGGAGGGGTGATTGTGACGACCTCTATGGGAGAGTGTGATGTGGGCGAGCATTGGCAGGTTACAGGGTGTCATGATCCCACATCGCTTAGGAAAGGTGAAGTGCTATATGTATGTTATATACCCTTCTATGACACAACACGTTTTAAAGCCGTGATGGCCATGAACTCATTAGAACTCCAAATTTAAAGGTGCTTACTCTGGAGTAGTACCAGGATGGATGACCTCTTGGGAAGGCTCTGGTCCGGGGGAGCTAAATACGGACAATATTGTGTTTGGATGAGGTTAGGGTTGTTACAAATGCTTATTATTGTATCGGGTAGGGTGAGTCCCAAGTAAAGGACATAAAGAGAGGCTAAAGTCGCCATGAAGAGGCGAGAAAAAGAGGAGTGAATTGGGGTCTAATGGAGAGAAAGTGTAGATCTATTTCCTCCCTCGAGGTTAGGCCTAATTACAGGTGGTACCCTTAACATTTTAGAAATTACAGATTCCTCCCTCAAAGTTAGCTCCGTTATAACACTTTGCTCCTTCTGATGACGGTCAACGCCGATCAATAATGGTTTTCGATGATGTTAGCCATTTTTTAGCATGATATACCACATTTGCCCTTATTATAATTGCAAAGACATTTCCACCCTTACCTAAGACAATCACAAAGACATTTCCACTTTCTAAATATATTTCATATATATATATATGTATGTATGTATATATATATATATGTATGTATGTATAGGTCTACACACACACACACACACACACACATACATATATACTGGTCAATGAGTAAAGGATCCGATCCATTCGTATATATAAACTGGTCGGACTTGATAAAGGCCATGGTCACCGGAATCCATAGAGCGCCACACCGCCAATAGAACAACTCTTCTCCTCCTCAACTCTGTCGTCCGTGGCTATACCCTCCAGTAGAACCGATTCAACCCAGACCTATGTTCATGGCCAGGAGTCTGCCACGACAATGCCACCACCCATTTCACCACCCTATGCCTCCTCAACGACAGAATCATAGGAGAAATACTTGAGGCGTCCATCGGAATATCGCCGTAAATAACTTTTCTGGTGAGATATCATCGGAGTTCAACATTCAAAATTTGAACCATCATCCATCGATCCATAGTAACCAAAACAATGCCGCCCCCATACGAATTGTCGCCGATGAGCACAAGTGTCCCCACCATATCTTCAATCTCTCTCTACAAGTCTCAATCAATGAATTTACCTACCTCTTTTCACTACCCAAAACACTAATTTTCAAATTGAACAATCATGGCAGGCGTTGGTTACGTGATTATATGAGTCTGTTCAATGATGCATTGATGGTTTTGGGGCTGGAGATGGTGGTTGTGGTTGTGGGAGTGAGGATGGTGATGGTGTCGCCGCTGGTGGTTGCGGGGTGGGGATGGTGGTGGCTGTTACAATAAGGAGGGTGGTGTTCGCTATTGCCTCCACCATCTGTGGTGGTGATGTTGTTGCCACCTTTGGCAGTGGTAGTACGATGGTTGTCGGTTGTGGTGGTGATGGTGGTGCAGCTACCGGTTGTGGTGGAGGGGTGACAATTCGTATTCTCGGGTCGTAATCATGTCGTGTCGATTTAAGGTATTCTACTAAACAGCTCAACCCGAACACGACCCGTTTAATAATCGTGTCAGGAACCCTCAACACTAACCCGACTTATTTTTTAAACGGGTTACGCGTATAACCCGTTTAATGACCTGTTTAATAAAATCAAATATTTTATTATTTAAATTATTAATAATACTCGATCAAACATTAAATACTAGAAAAATATAAGTTTCAATCCAACCAAATTACTAAATAATCTCTAATCTACAAAAGAATAAATTATAAGACATAAGTTTAGATAATTATTTTGGAACTTAAATAGAAATTTGCTTATGAAATGTATAGTTAAACGGGTATAAAAGGATTATATAGGTTGAACCCCTCAACCGAAACACGGCATGATTAACTAAATAGGTTAATTATGTCGACCTATTTACGACCTGAATCTGTTTAAGGTTAATCAAAACTCGTTTAACTTGTGTCGTGTTCTATCCGTATTGGCGGGTCGTGTCAAACTTTGCCACCCCTATTGTGGTGGGTAAATGAAAATTGATAAAAACTTAATGTTGTACGTGATAAAAAAATTTGGAGAGGATGGATATTTAAAATTACATAAATGCCCATTATATAATGTAGTGATGGTGGAGTACTATGATTACTATTGGGCTTGGTGGTGGAGGGCAGTGGGTGATGGTGATAGTGTTGGAGTGGTAGAGGTGTACAGTGGAGGTGGTGATGATATAGAGGGAGAGTGAATAGATATTGGAAAGAGAGGAGAGAGATGTAGGGAGAGAGTTTGATGGGTCGTTTTGTCATTTCGTATTTAGATAATTTTTTTGTTTTATAAACTATTGCGTCAGTTATTAGGCCTAACAAGAGAGAGAGGTAAGTGATATATTCTAAAAACTAAATAATTAGCTTCTAGGGCACATAGTCTCAACTATTTTATCCATCGGTCAGCAAAACCAAGCTTTCTCATCACAGAGTTCCAACAAATTCCATATAATGTGATCGTAAGCTTCTGCCGTAAAGCCATGTAGCTGGTTTTGCACTTTTTTCTTGGACCTTAAAATGGGGAGGCCCAATAACCTCCCGAGACACATTGAACAGAATCAGAGATTCAAAGTTCCACGTCCCCTTCTCTAGTTCCATCATTATCAATAGGCTAGATGATTTGATCCGTACAGTCCGTTATCATGGGAAACGAAATGCCCCATGCAGCTGATTCTCTGACAAAATTAGTCAACGTCACCCAAAACGTTGTGGAGGGTAAGATCGCCCATTCTCCTGCCTTGAACCTAGGAGTGAGAATCTGTATTTTCCGGTGAAGAAACAGAGGGTCTTGGCCGTCGTAGAGTTTTGAATTTTTTTTTTTCGGAAAATTTAGAGTTTTGAATTTCGAGTAAGAGTAAACTCCTGAAACTTGGAAGTCATCCATTGCGAAAGCAAAACCAGAAAGAAAGAAAAGGAAGCCAGCTCTGTACAATTTTTTTAACTAAAAGGAAAAATAAAAGGAACAGCAAAACCAACCTTACCATTGAAGCATGAACAGACAAAAATAAAAGTTCTCGGAATCTTATTGTTTAACTTGTCACAAATCCCAGATACAGTTTCATCTTTCATTTTTTTTTTTTTTCATTCTCTCCTATATGTACAGAGCTGAAGGAAGGATGTGCCTCTCCAAGCTGGCGGAGAACTCCCAGGAAAAAAGGAAGGAAAACCTGAACCCAGACAAGACTAAAAACCGAAAACTCACCAGCCGGCCGCCCTCATAGAGTTATTATTAACAACCCCATCAATATACAATATAGAAAACATCAGCGTCCACGTAAAAATAGGCCGCCAACTGCAGCTCCCTCTATAAATTGTTAACCTGTTCATCAAAATTGGGACACCAGCTTATCGCAGATAAGGTGGATGGGCATTACCGCTTTACATAGTTGTCTTCCCTTTAGCACGGTGGAAGTCATCCAAACTACGAAATTCTTCCCTTAGCAACCTGTCCAATTCCGGATGTTTGTTTAATGGTGCTTTCTCGTTTGGTGCTTTTTGGTTACGCGATCCACGATAATGGTGAAATGCCCTGCCATAAAAATTTCTTTATTAATTATAATGAAAACTCCTCAAAAGCAGCAGAAGACAAAAAATTAAAGAACCAGAGAGTAATTTCTGACATTTTCTACCTTCTTATGATAGATTCTAATAGTAATTCTCGCTCTAGTCTACTGTATTAAACTCTAGGCTCCTGACACTTAACACATTAGGTATCAAAATAAAGTAAAATCCATGTTAAGATCACGATGGAACATAAGGGTTGCAACAAATATAATCTAAGGTATAGCAGCGCCGTTTCAATAAACATAATCAAAAGGTATAGTATTGGGGATATTCACCCAGAGGAAATCCTGTTTTTTTATGTTTTCCACATCAAAAACTTATTGTGAGTGGAAATGCTATGATAATATTAAGCAAGTCCGCCTTCAAATTTGTTTGCCTTGCCTAAGTTCCATTGGATTCTTACACACATCATATACAACAGCTCATGAATATGTGCTTATGAGAACAAGTAACGATCGGGCCAGTTTCAAATATTTTTAACCAACTGCCCATGGGATGTTGTTGTACAGACCTGGCTAGCAGCCTAGAACATGTTCAGGATTTTACCAGGAGTTCTTTATGATGCTTTCAGCGGCACCAAATTCCAATTTTATGTGTCCCGTGTACTTCGAAGTCTTACTTTTCTGCCCTCGTCTACCATACTTGATTATCAAACTGGTGATGAATCGATGATGGTCTGAAGTATCACATCTTGATAAACATGTTTAAAGAAAGGTTATTAGGACTACTGTTGTTTTCTTTAGAGGAAGGTTTTTGGAGTGTTACCCTAAAAATTATCGTTATCTTCTACAACTTGCCATTCTGCTGTTTCCTTTCCAAATCCAAAGCTCTCTCACTTGTCTACCTAGACATCCCTCAGTAAACCTCCAAGCCAAACCTCTCCTAGGCCTGTAAATGGATTAGATTCAGACCAGAACAGGCTTTATCCAATCCAAATCTGATAAGAGTTTTATCTGAACCGACCCGATACGATAATCCAAAGAATTACAGTATTTATGATTTATCCATATCTGATTTGTTATCGATCTGAAATCAATTTGATAACCCGATCCATTAAGAATGCAATTTTTTTGTTAAAAAAATTTGATGTCAAAAGAGATTAGCAAACATTGATTAGAATAAAAATAAATAAATTTAAAAAGAAAAAGAGAGAGAGAAGCTGGAGACGAAAAATAAAATATAAACAAAAAAAAGGTAAGAAATTAGGTATTTGGCTTTTTATTAAAGAAAAAAACAATAAAGAGAGACAAAATAGAGAAAGGGAAGAAGGAAAAAATTATGGTAAAAAACATTTTAATAATATGTAAATATGATATATTACAGCATTAGATAATATATTTATAGCATCTTATATATTACATTATATCAGATAATATTATAATCGGACGGGATCAACCATAATCCATATCAGTTCTATTTACCTAACAGATTATGGGATTTGGATCGCTGACGGGTTATCAAATTGAATCCACATACAAGTATTCAAATCGGATTTGGATCAAAATCCTATCCATTGACAGGTATATACTCCTATAGAAGTTGGTGCCTAAAAAACTTCTAAAGATGCTCTGATATGGTACGGGTTTATAAAAGATGTGTCAGTATTACACATATCAATAACAGCAGATCACCGTCACATGAAGTCCCATACGGTTATCCCTGTCTGAAACAAATTAGAGTCCCTCAACTTCATCATCCACCATAGAATAACTCTTCATCAAAAATTTCTACATCTTTGAAGTATCATAGCCGCAATAAATGGAAACAGAAAACCTCTAAATTCTTCACCAGATTTTAGCTTCAAAAGCATAGTTAAGGACTTCTTTCACGTGTTCATCAGATCAGCAAAGCATGTTGACCTCACAAAGTGGACAAAGTTCAAAATGTAAAAGAATGAAAAATACTTCTAAAGCATATAATTGAACCACTTAAACAACCATTCTCCTTACCCTTCTCAAACTTGATGGTTTTGTTGAAAATTCAAAAGGCATCAATGGGCTAGCTATGGGATTTCTTTTGCACAGTTGCCATAATTAAACTAATCCAGTGATGGGACAGCAGTACTCCACAAGCTTCCCACCATAACAAACAACTAATTGCATAAAAGAGCAGTTCAATCAACCCCTCCACCCGGATCTTTAGGTTAAAGGAACCCATTCCTCTTAACAATGATAAAAGCAAGAGTTGTCTCTGCTGACCACATAGCACTATTTTGTGCGCTCCTATTGAGAATCTCCATACAAGAGAAATTCTTTACAACTACAGCAATACATTACGGCCACCTAAATCAAGATCTTTCAAATGTTTTATGTAAAAAAGGATAGCTACAAACCTAACAGTCTCGCATAAAAAGTATGATTATATGGTAAGCTTCTGTTCCGATAATTTATAATTCTCTTCTTTCACCATGTCTAACACATTACTGATGAACTACCTCAAATTATTATACTTGAGAACTTCTTTCACCTTATTAAGTCCAACTTTGACATGATTTTTCAAAGTAAATCATGAAATAATTCCTAGGACTCTCCATGAAATTGAAGCAGCAAATTTGAATTGACATCCAAAACTATAAAAAAAAAAAATTGAAAGAAAATAAAGAAAAAACACATAACATTTACCAATATTTTTCAAGGCCATAAAGATTGCCTTTATTGTAGAAGTCCAGGGCCAGCTGTTCAAAGTCCTCATAAAGGTCCTCTTTGAATTCTTTCTCCAAACCATAACTGAAATTAGAAAAGAACCGACTTAATATATATATATATATATATTCATTAAATTGACATATCAGAAATTCAATAACCAATATGTGCATTTTTTTCTAGAGAAATGAAACCAACATTAAAAAATTAATATAATACAGCGTAGCAAAGATTAAAACCTCAAAGCTGGTTTCAACAGGAATCTACAAACCTCAAGCATGTGAAAAGAGAATAATATCTGAATGATACCTATAGAACCTGAACAGGCATTCTACTCCATAATTATAATTAGCAGCCGCGTCTTCCATTGCGAACTTCCGGAATTCATTATACATTGAAGGGACAAACATGTCTCTAAGGAAATATGACCAAAACCTGTAAAGTGTATTCATTTCCTGCATGTAAAGAGACATGGACACCTGTTTAGAAACGAGTATCAATATTCTAAACATAGGGAACAAATAAAGTTCCTACAAGTTTTGGCATGTGAAGTGATGTGATTTGCAACCGCGAGCGAGCGCACGCCCGCGCGAGAGAGAGAGAGAAATGGAGGGAGGAAGGGAGTACATGCATGAACACACGCAAGCCCTTTGACAAGATCTAATTATAGCAGAAACATATTTTATGTATTACAGAGTATTGATAAGCAGTAAAACTTTTTACATTGAATGTGTCATTACAATCCCTCATTGTACATAATTCGATTAATATAATTTAAAGGAACAATCGTATAAAAGTGAGCAAGAAGGGGGGATAACCCCTAACCAATTTTCTCATTGCAAACACAAAATTAATAAGGTTGCATTTGGATGTGCCTTTGAATTTGAGTGGCTCTATGGCACTTCCAATATGCCCATCGAGGAAAATACAAAGTTTCACCATACTTCATGGTACGCTATTAATTTAAGCTTTTCTTGATACGATGAAATTCAAAAAAAAAATGAAAAAGAAAAAAATTAACAATATTTGTGAAATAGCTGCCATTTTTACGAATGTCTTGAATCAGGATGATAGATTGACACCTTAATATTCTATATAAGACATTGATAGGGACATCCAAATATGCCCTAAGAGTACCCCATCATATTGAAGACATTCAAACAGTAATCCCAACAGCTTTAAAATCAATTAACTTGTAAAATACAATCCTCAAAAACCTTAAAACAGATCACATACTAAGGCTGGAAATTACAAGCCAACTTAACAAACCAATTTTAAAGCCTAAGAGCAACTTGAAAGACAACTCAACAACAACCAAGCAATACATTCATGCATTGTGGTGCCATAACTTCAGAAACGATCCATGAAACTGAAAAACTAAGTTCAAAGTATGTAACAAGAACGACATGTGCAAAAAAATGGACTTAAAGAAAGGTCAACTGTCACCACCTGCCCACACCGTGTAAAAATTGTCCACTTTGCACTCTCTTCTCTCAATGCTCAAAGTTTTCCTCAAAATGAGTCTACATAGTTAGGTGATGTCCACATGTAAGTGTCATCAAACCTCTCCCCCCTAGGGGATGTACATCACAATCGCCCCTCTTGTGACCCCATGTCCTCCTCACTGGTATGACCCTCACGAACTTCTGTCCCCCATTTCGAGCTAGGGATTGGCCTAGATATCATTTGTCACAACCTGCCCACCTTATGTAGATACTATCCACTTTACATTCTCTCTCTTCTAGGTGCTCACGGTTTTCAAAACATGCCTATACTGTTAGAAGATGTCCACACATATAAACGTTATCAAATGTTTCCCCCCAAGCGATGTGGGATGTCACAATCACCCCTCTTGGGACCCAGCGTCATCGCTGGCTTGACCTTCATGAGTTTGTGCACGCTCCTCCCAATTTTAGTTGGGGATTGGCTCTGATAGCATCTGTCACGACCCGTCCACACTGTGTAAATATTGTCCACTTTGCACATTCTCCTCTCAGTGTTCACGGTTTTCCTCAAAATTGTGTATACACACGGTTAGGAGATGTTCACACATAAAAGCATCATCAAACCTCTCCCCCCAAGTCACAATCACCACCACTTAGGACCCAGAATCCTTGCTAGTCTGACCCTCATTGGGTATGTGCACAGTCCCTCCATTTCCGGCTGGGGATTGGTTCTGATACCATTTGTCACAATCCACCCACACCATGTGAATATTGTCCACTTTGCATAGGGCTGCAACTGAATCGAGTTATTCATGAATAGTTCGGACTCGACTCGTTTAAGGCTCAGCTCGGGCTCATTCATTAAGCAAATGAGCAGAGCTCGAGCTCAATTTCTAGGCTCGTTTAGTGAGCGACCAAATCCCGAACATTGTCAGGCTTGACTCATGCAGGCTTGTAAACATGAGCTCGTGTAGGCTAATTTATGTTCGTGAACATCGACTCGTATATGTTCATGAATCGTGGGATCATTATAAGGCTCGTTTAAATTTGTCTATATTTCTTAATGGAATTCTTTAATCCATGGAAGAATAAAATAAAAATACAATGATTTACTAAACGAGCCTGGCGAGCTTGGAAACGAGTCTGAACCTGAGTTCTATTTGTTTTCTTAAACAGCTAGCCCAAGCTTTTTAAAAATCATGGCGAGACGGAGTTTAATTTTTTATTTTTTTTTATTTTTTATTTATTATTATTTTTTTTTAATAAGTAAAATGTATTAGAAAGCGTTCAAACGAAGAACGCATCCCAAGAGCTATACAGAAATCGAAGCCAGAGAGACAAGGTCCTAAGGACCGAATCCAAAAATAAATAAATTCATCAATGGATATACAATTTCTCCCCAAAATCCAACTAAAAAGAGAGCTAATAATATGAAACTTCAAAGCCCCTAAGGGAGATTCCTCCCCTTTAAAAGATCTTTTATTCCGCTCCTTCCATAAGTACCACCAAACACAAAGGGGAACCACCCTCCAACTCTCACGGGCGTGGGCTCCCACACTACAACCTGGCCAAGCGTCAATCAAAACCCTTGAGGACCGAGGCATAACCCAATCGACGCCGAAAAGGCCAAAGATAAGGCTCGAACAGTCGTGAGTGAGCTACAGGGCAATGCAAAAGAAGGTGATCCACAAACTCGCCACTCCTGTTGCACAAACACCACCAATTGATTGTAATATGTCTTCTCTTCCTCAAATTATCCAGGGTCAAAATCTTGCCCCAAACAGCAGTCCAAACAAAGAAGGCCACTCTGAGGGGAGCCTTGGAACGCCATACCGTCTTCCAAGGGAAAATAGAACTATGAAAATCAGAGAGACAACGGAATAGGGAACGAACCTCAAATCTCCCCTAAGAGGAAGGCACCCAAACCAGAGAGAAAGTGCCACTACCATTTACCTCATGTCCGTATAATAGCTCCAACAAACCTACAACCTCATCCAACTCCCAATCCTGAAAGGAACACCGAAAATGCATATCCCACGCGAGCCTACCGTTATCAAGCCGATAACAATCGGCCACCAAAGCATGTCTATCCTCGGCAATCTAGAAAAGTCGGGGAAAGGAACGAGCCAACGAGTGATCACCACACCATAAATCCTCCCAGAACCGAACTCTCCTGCCATACCGTACTCTGCATCTAATATGCTTAGAAAATTTATCCCATCCCTTACGAATGAATTTTCAAACACCCACACCTGACCGGATCAGAGGACCAACCGCCTCTCTCCTCGTAGCGGCACACAACCACCTTCCTCCAAAGACGATGGCGCTCACTTCTGAATCTCCACAACCACTTTCCCAGAAGAGCCCTATTGAAAAGGGCCAACCTCCTAACGCCCAGACCTCCCAACGGAATTGGTCTGCACACTTGATCCCAACGAAGAAGATGATACTTGAACTCCTCCCCCGCATCCACCCCAAAGGAAGTTCCATGAAGTCTATTAATCCTTCTAACTACTGAGACGGGAACCTAAAAAAGGGAGAGAAAGTATATAGGGAGACTCAACATCGTACTCTTCAAAAGAGTAACCTTCCCACCCTTCGACAGATACTGCTTCCTAGTCGGCGGCTCCGGAACCACTGAACCAAACTCCCACCTATCCCGAAAGAGACCACTCTTTCGTCTAAGGATGTTAAGCCACTCCTCACTCTCAGGGAAGGCTACGGGCAGGAGACGGTTGATAGACAAATTCCTAATTCACTTAGAAATCCTCTCTGAGGTCAGGAATGGGTAAGCCTGTTTCACACCCTTCTCGTGCATTTCCTCTCTCTGTTTCGGCAAGACTATAAACAAACGAGCCGAGCCCGAGTAGCCTAAAGCTCGTCTCGACTTGGTTCATTTGCAGCCCTAGCTTTGCACACTCTCATCTCGGTGCTCACAATTTTCCTCACATATAAGTGCCATCAAATCTCAGCCCTTTGTGTGACGTCCCACATCGCCTAGGGAAGAGGTTTGATGCAACATATATGTGGCATCCCCAACTATGTAGACATGTTTTGAGAAAAACACGAGCACCGAGAGGGGAGTGTGCAAAGTGGCCAATCTCCAGCCGAAAACGGAGGACCATGCACAAGCCCATGAGGGCCAGGCGAGCAAGGACACTCGGTCCCAATAAGGGGTGATTGCGATGTTCCGGACATCTCCTAACTGTGTAAATGCGTTTTGAGAATAACTGTGAACACCGAGAGGAAAGTGTGTAAAGCGGATAGTATCTACACGGCTCGGGGCGGGTTGTGAAAGATGTATTGTGACATTTCACATTGCCTGGGGGGAGAGGTTGTTGGCACTTATGTGTGATTGTGTAGATACATTTTGAAAATTGTGACCACCAAAAGGAGAGTGCAAAGCGGACAATATCTACACAGGATGGGCAAAAAATTGTAACAAAGCCAATCCCCAGCCGAAAATGGGGGGACCGTACACAAGCCCATGAGAATCAGGCCAACGAGGACGGTAGGTCCCACGAGGGGGTGATTGTGACACCCCACATCTCCTAAGGAGAGAGTGTAATGCGGACAATATCTACACAGGGTTGGCGGGTCGTGACCTTAACACTTTTCATGAGTGGGAAGTAACACTCATTCCAGAGAATATTTTCTAGCCCTTAAAAGAACTAGGATTCTTGAGAAATACTAGATTGTATGGTTCAAAGAATATCAAATACAAGGAGTAAAAACTATATATTAGCACCACTAGTAAGTAGTATTATTTAACATATTATGTTATTTAGTAGCTTTACTTGTAAGTGATCAGAAAGGCTATTACCAATGTTGATTGTCTAAATGTGGTGTCCGGATGTATGATTTTAAACAGTCTTGGAATTTTGGCACAAAATGGTTGCTTGCATTCTCAAAACTCTGTTTTAATACTCAGCTGCCTGAACTATTGCCACTACACCAAGCAATGGCCCCTATAATAAATCCTGAAACTTGGAAGCTCCAAAACTAATGATTTGCATTTTTCAGTTGAAATAACATAATTAAATATCCTTAATATTAACAGCTCATAAATGTTAAGAGAATATTAGTGATAAGCATGTTTCCCCTTTGAAAAATTGGATTATAAAGTACAGTAGGGCCTCTACGTTATTACTACCCACCCACCCATCCACCAACATACAAGCATAACCTGAAAGCCCGTCTATAATAATTGGTTTATTCTAAAATACAACAGAATCTTTTGATTAAAAAAATGAATTCTAACACCAAGAATTGGAACAAAATATAAATCAGTAGAACTTAAGACATGAAAAAAAAAAAAATTCAAGTAGATAAATCCCTCCAACCATGATACCAGCAGGACATTTGCCTAGGTGATATAGCCTCTACTTCCCAAAGGGGAGGGGAGGGGTTCGAGTCACGAGTGGGGCAAATTTATGGGCTGGGTGCAAGTTGTTTAGCTACCCCCCCCCCCCCGGCGCGCCCCGCCCCAAAAAAAAGCAAAAAAAAAAAAAAAAACTTACTATGCACAAAGATTATGACTAGAAAACCGAGTATAATAATGATTTTAAGTCAAAACATTTCAAAACTAAGTAGAAACACAAAAGGAGAACATAAGGGATCTTGTTGCTAAGACATTCTTATCCTTCCAAAAGAGATCCAAATGGCAGAAATAATTTGGAAAGGAACCCTTCAAAAAGCAAGAGTTTTCATTCTAATAAAACATTCCAAAACTGCCATATATTGAAGGTTTCTTACAAACAATAAAAAACATTCAAAGATTATTTAGCAAAGTATGCCACCTCGCTGCAACCAATTCCCAGCTTCTTTCGGTCATTAAGGCACCGTTTGTGAAACTTCAAGTACCTAAATGGAAGAAAACATGAGCCAACTCAAAAAGATATAAGGATTTCACATAGATTCAGACGCATGCAAACAGATGCGCAAGTATTCAACATTCCTTACTTTTGCTGTCTGAAACCATTTTCTTCTAAAAGTTGATGACTTGGATGCTGAAATGGTGGAAATGACTTTGGCAAGGAACCCACAGGAGGACTACTACTCAAGATATTGCCATGAGGAGAAGCAACATTTAACTTTGACGACCTCAGACTGAAAAATTGTGATTCCAACTTTGAATTAGCATAGTGGAAAATTTCCAAAACCACCTAAACAACGTCATTTAGCACCTTGAAGGCTGCCTCCTTGCCTTTGAATTCAAAAGCATTATTCACTTTATTCACTCTTGAAAACAAGAAAGAGTAATTTCAAAATGCAAACACAATACCCTAGAAGAACACATAGATCCACAAAGCATAACAACCTGCTCTGAACTCACCCATGACTTTCAGGAGGTGTAGATCCAAAGAAAAACCCAACCGAATAACTAGGTGGACTTTCAGATATTATGCCAAGAGAATTACGACCAGTTCCATGATTTCTAGAGTTGCTGGAGAATAGCCGCTGTTTATGGTTTGATTGTTGTTTGGTGCCTTTATTATGCTTCCTTCGAGAATTAGCATTTCCAGGCACTTCACAGCCACTGACTCCAGCAAAAAATTCACCAGCCTTTGTATTTGTTACAGCAGAAGCAGTGCCATCTTTACATTCATTACTCGAGTAGTTTTTTCTACGATTAGATTGCTTAGCTTTCAATTCCTAGCAGGAGGGAACAAGTTAGAGCAATTTTGGTAACGTCAATATCTTCTAAGAGAAAATAAATAATTGCAGAAGAATGAGGTTGACAAGTGAAGTAGAAACACAAACAACTGTCCAATCAACCTGCTCATAAAAGTAAAGGCCATCATTAATAGCGGAAGCAAGCTCGTTGGATATGGATTTTGATTCCTTTACACCAGTACCAAATCCTTCACCTGTCCTGTTATTCTGCACAGGAAACAAATGACATTAGTCAATGAATCCCAACAGATTAACTGCCAAACATTGTATCAGTTCCCATTTCGTTTTACAACCTTTGCTGAGCCAACATCATCCAAACAGATAATTACATGATAAGAAAAAGAACTTTAGAACTAGCACAGGAAATGAATAAAAGAAATTCTTTCGATAACTTGTAAATTAATTTTTTGGCAAGGAAATTAAATATAAGATACTAACACAATACAGGAAGAAAGGAAATGCAACCAAAGGTTATGCTGCAATAAGGCAGGTAACTGTCCAACAGCTAAAAATCAATTGATCATGAAGCCCTTTTCAAGCCTAGAGAGCAAAACTATAGCAGATCTCAAGGCAAAACAAGTGCAAGGGTGGTTGGAGTGGTTAGTTACAGTCAAACAAGTAAAGGAAGCTCAAAGTCAATCTTGCTTAGCGCTCTTGGAACGAAATGCTTAGCTAAATGGCTTCTAGGACAATGCTCAAAATTGATCATGCCTTTGTGTTCAGGGACGGAGCTACATGTAGTTCAGTGGGGGTAATTGCTCCCCCCCTGAATTTTTTTTTTTTTTTTTTTTTGTAATTTACCCTTGTTAATTTGATTTTTTTTAATTATACACCCATAAAATATTACTATTGCCACCCCTGAAATTACTAAAAAAACTCATTATTGCCCCACCTCACCTTATTTTCTGGCTCCATCCCTGTTTGTGTTTCAATTAGACTAACCAAGTTCAGTTACATAGTTAGCCCTTTTTAAGTTCAATTACAGAGCTAAATTAGGACATTTTTTTTTTTTTTTTATAATTGAGGACTAAATTTTTTTCTACCACTCCTTCATTTGCAGAAGCGTAGCCTTTCTAAGAACCCAAATACATTGTTCCTCAATCAATTAAAAGTTCTCTCTACCATTCCATTTCATTTTCAAGAGCTTGGCCATTCTAAAAAGCCAACCAAACAGCCACCACAAACAGGAAACCTTCCATATCCAGTGAGAGGATCATGGGAAGCCAAATTGGTTCAGGAATATAGCTTGCTATAAGGTAAAAGACAAAGAAACACAAAGGCGGAATCTGCCGAAGAGGTACGGTCTTAGACAAGAACCTTGAATGCTCAGGACCAGAACTCTTCGACATCATTTTTAAGTTGACCATGTGATTTAAAGCTATACATAATGATGCAAAAATAAACAATCTCCTATGAATCCAGAATCTAGAGGCAGTAGAGAAGAGGCAATATAAAAATAATCTTGTCGCAATTATGATGTGTCTTTCTCGTCAAAGTCAGTGGGATCATAGTCTATGGTAACTCACAAAAAAGACGGTTTTGAATGTTAGAAAACAAAACTACTCAATGAATGACCTATGTGGGATGCTGGGAGGAATATACTAGAAACAAACCTAACATGTGTATTAACTTTCACATTGAGTTGCAGCTCGAACTCACATCCTTGCACTTCCAAAATATAATTAAATTCATACTAATATTTTGCAATGAAAAAAATAACTGAACTAGGAAAAAAAAAAAGAATTGCCGAACTGTTGCCCCAATGTGATTTCTTAAGCTATCATTATACACAAAATCATAATACTGTAAGCTATTACTCCTTCAGCAAGAAGCCAAATATTAATATGTTACTTTTCCAATTTTAAAACTCCTCTCTTGTATCTGAGGCAGTGTTGATAGAATTGGAGCAGCCAGGCTAGTTTTAGCCAGATAACTGACTAAATGGACCGTTGACTATTGCCAATGATACAGTGCTTAGTTTCGAGCTCATTCGACCTATGAAAGGAGCTCTAAAATTTAGGTCTTATATGTAGTCCAGCATCAGTGCAATGTTTGTACAAAATGCACTGTTCCAATGGTATTATTATAAGCTTAATTTCGAGTCCAATTTACCTCTCAGTGAAGACCGGAAAGTCATAGTCTTGATGCAGCATGAAAAATGCTTTGATACCAACTGATGTAGAGAACTAATAGAAGAGAAGAAGAATGGAGAAAAGAAGAGAGCAGCAGAATTAGGAGAAGGCCCTATTTATAAGCAAGCCCTAAGAAATCCTAATTACTAATTGTCCAACTATTGGCAAAAATATACACACCAAAAATAATGTTTACTCGTAAATATAGGAAATCCTAAAATCTATCTTTCCTTACCCCTTCTCCAATCATAGGCGAGACTCATGTGCAACTTACACGTACAAGTCATGTCTTAATCCCCATTAATTCTCTCCAATCGGGTCTCCTCCAAAGAGTTAGAATTCCTCTGGCTAATGTTGGGCTCAACATTGAAATTGAATTATGCTTCGACTACAACTGCTTATATTTTTTGGATCAGTTTATGTTGGAAGGTTTGGTTGAAGAGGAAGCCCTTAATCAATATCCTAATAATCAACTCACACATTCTAGATCTAGCATTATCAAGCATGACTTGACCATTGGATTTGTGTCAAGAATTTTGACCCCCTTACTATAAGAAAGACTAAAATTTGTCTGATAAATTTTCAAAGAATGATTCAATCAGCTGAAATACTTCCTTCATTAGATTATTATTTGATAAGTAAGATTTCATTGAAAAGAGTCAAAAGGGGAGCGCGGACCATGAACAAAAGCTAGACCAAGAAGGTCTACCATACAAATGTATCCTCTAAAGACACTATATCCCCCACAAAATTACGATTCCAATCCTGAACCCCAAAAAAATAAAGTATAGAGAATAGAAAACTTGAGCACCCATGCCGGAACCTCAACACCATCAAAGGACCAGTTGTGCTCACACCACAACCCCCACCGTAAACAAAGGGGCGCCACCCTCCAAGCGTCTCGGACTTGCCTCCTAACTGCACACCCATGCCAAGCCTCAAGCATGCTCCGCAGGGACACCGGCATAACCCACAAAACGCCAAAAAGCATAGCCCATCAATCTCGAGCTACCAAACAATGCAAAAGAAGATGACTGATTGACTCTTCATCTTCCTTGCCCAATGCGCATACAGCGCCAATTGATTATAATCTGACCCCTCCTCAGACTGGCAACAATCAAGATCCTCCCTAGAACCACTATCCAACCAAAAAAGGCCACCTTAAGCCTTGGTGAGCCAAATTGCCTTCCAAGGGAAGGAAGGCCCTCACGTATCCATCATGCACCCGTAGAAAGAACGCACCTCAAAAAACCCATGACTAGTCTCCTTCCAACACCAAATCCCCACACCCCAACACCCCCCCCACCCGGGGTGCCCCATGGTTCATCTTCCTTGCCCAATGCCCATACAGCACCAATTGATTATAATCTGACCCCTCCTCAGACTGTCAACAATCAAGATCCTCCCTGGAACCACTGTCCAACCAACAAAGGCAACCTTAAGCCTTGGTGAGCCAAACTGCCTTCCAAGGGAAGGAAGGCCCTCAAGTATCCATCATGCACCCACCCCCCCGGGAAAAAAAAAAAAAAAAAAAAAAACCTCTGGACGATACAAACGGCTGGAAGCTCACCTATGTCTCCCAACCCCCAAACTTGGAATTGGAAGGGTCTCACAAACTAAATATCCCAAAACAACCTCCCACTATTCGATAACATTCAGCCACCAGCACCTCCTTGTCCACACCTATCCTATAAAGACACGGATAGGTTGACTCTAGCGAGCGATCCCCACACCACAAATCCTTTCAGAAGCTGGCCCCTCTCCTACACACCCTGAAATGAATATGTTTGGAAAAGACATCCCACCCTTTTCGAATGGCCTTCCAAACACCCACTCCAGCCGGCTGCCTCACCTCAAGAGAGCACCACCCTCCCCTGCACTCCCCGAACTTGCTGGCAATGGCCCTCCTCCACAACTTGGGTCCATCCATCCCAAAACATCACAACCACTTTCCCAACAAAGCTTTGTTGAACATCTCTAACCTCCTAATGCCCAACCAGCCTAGCTGTGTATACCTGCAAACTAGCTCCCAGTTCACAAGATGGTATTTGAACACATCTCCCATACCACCCCACAAAAAGTTCCGCTGGAGCTTCTCTAATCTCCTCACCACTGAGATGGGAACCTGAAAAGGGATAGATTAGGATGGGAGATTTGAAAGGGTACTCTTCACTAGAGTTTTTTTTACTTTTTTTTTTTGTCCTGTGCAAGATGGAAAAATTTATATAGATATGAACAATATAGTACAAGGATATAAGCAAAGGCAAAGGTACCTTTGCAAAAACAATAATAAAAGAAAGGCTGAACAGCCAACAAAAGAAGCAAAAATGCACAACTAAATAAGCAACAAAAGGAACACTAAAGAAGCACCAAACAACTCAAACAGAGAACAGGTGAAGGATCTTGATGAATCCAACACTTCCCACCATATGGTTTGATATAAAAATTAAAAAAAAATAAAAGAAGGATCTTGACGAATCCTCGTGCTTTTACATCTGCAGATTCTTCACTAGAGTAATCCACCCCCCTTTCAAAAGATATTGTTTTTTCAACCCGCTAGCCTCCTATTAAACCGCTCCACCACCGGATCCCAAACAGAAACTCTCCTCGAGCAATGCAAGGAAACCCCAAGTTGTCATAGGCTATGTTACCGGGATTTGGGTACGAGTGTCAGACACAGGTGTGTTGCTAGGGGTCGGATCCATCCATCTATCAAATTAGAGGATACGGGGACACGAATAAAAAGTGTACAAAAGTCAGGCACAGGTACTTGGACATGGCAAAAATAAAAATAATTCTTATTCAAAAATACAGGGGCATGGCACATAAATACTGGCATACAAGAGATAATTCGTGTTTTAGTCAAAGAAAAACATTGTACAATGGTACAACTGGTAAGTGGTAAAGAGAAAGATGTTACAATGGTACAACTGGTAAGTGGTGAGTGGTGAGTGGTGAGTGGTAACTTTAGTAAGTAAATACTAAATATATAACTTATCAAAAAAAAAAAAAAAAAAATACTAAATATATATATACACAAGTTTTAGTTTTACTTAAAACATAATAATAAACAAATAAAAATATTCACAGCTGAACACATGCATGATAGTAACCAACATAGTAAGTCTTGAAAGAAGTTTTAAAGAGATAGTGGGTGACAGATGTGTTTAGGCTGTAACCCACATAGTAAATTTAAAACTTTAGTAAATGGTAACTTTGGTTAGGTGTCAGGCCAAAAGAATTTTAAAACATTATAACTTTGGCTTAAAATACACGCTCGGTCAGCACATGAACAGCACGTTTTTTCAGTCATCTTCTACCTTCAAAACCCCTTTTGACCTAAGAAGCACGGACACGGATACGGGACACGGATACGACACGACACGGACACGGCGACACGGCAAATCCAAAAAAATTAGGACACGGACACGGCGAATAGTGTATATATATATATATATGATGTAGTACTTTAAAAATTACCAAGTGTTACTATTTTTCATCAACCTCACAATGGAAAATATATACAAATCATAACTTATAACTAATAAACTATAAAAGAACAATGTTGCAGAGTTATAAAACCAAATAAAAAACAAGATATTAGAATAATAACTAGTATCATTTAATCATCATTGCAACTTTACTCCAAATACAAAAGCATAGACTGAAAGGACTATTAACATTCATGATTGTTTAACATTCAGGACTGTACTGTTAGCACTTAACATTCACAAAAACCTAAAGGCTAGTCCCAAAAAAGATACAAAAACAAGTCAGTGTACTATCATCTATTCCCATCCATCATTTGACCTAGGACTTTACCATTTACAATACCAAAAGGGTAGTCCAAAACAAAAAAAAAAAAAAACATATCAGCATTCATCTATTGTTGTTCATCATCAATTGTCTCATGAATCTCATCATCATTAACACTTCCATCATCGGTAAATAATACCGCCTCTAATTCTGGCTCATCAAGTGAGAGGTTTGCAACCTCAAGCACCCCAACATCACCAAATGAATCAAATGCATCTCCTGCAATATCCCACATCTTCGTTCGTCCTTCATTGTACTGTGGGGTTCTCCTTGACAGAAGACGGAGATTACTATGAATGAAAACCAAATCTTCAGCCCGTTGTGGCGCCATCTTGTTCCTTCTCAATGAGTGAATAAAAGAATAAGTACTCCAGTTCCTCTCACAACATGAGGAGGAAGAAGGCTGGACAAGCAACTTCAAAGCTAACTCTTGAAGCAAGGGACCATATGAACCATGTACAACCCACCAACTTTTAGGATCCATGGTATATCTATCACATATAGAATCACTCTCCCCAAATTCCCCCGAGTTTGATGAAAAATTAGCATACTCCAATTGGACTTTTGAATGCTCTTGTGGGTCACTAAAGTATTTTTTAAGGCACCTTGTTCTCTCTCTTGAGACCTCTAAATCCTTGTGTGGTGGAACTCGACTTTGGTCTTCACTAAGCCACACATCACTATAGTACCTACAATAAATAAGAGAATGCATTTAATTCATAATTTAATTTCCTTAATTCTAAACTAAGATTAAAACTTCTTTAGCTTACAAATTAATATCTAATGATTTACCTTGGATTTAGTGAATGTGCCAAGCAATGAAGCGGAGTATTGTTCTTGTTCCAACGAGCTACAAGTATCCCATGCACCACTTCATAAAAGGAAGAACTTTCACTTTGTCGCTTTCTTTCATACCTATATATTGCCATCTTCACTTTTTCAATCATTGTATCCCACATATCATAAACTAAGTGAAGACAAGGCTTATCGGTATCACAAGCCCTTAGCATGTCATAAATAGGTGAAGTAAAGGAAAGGATATAATCAATCTTTCCCCACCATTGTTCATCCAACAGCTTCTCTCTCACATAATCGGCCTTTCCTACATCATCCTCCTTATAGCAAGTCCACTTGTCACTTATGACCATTGCTTGGAGACCACCTTTTATAAGTTTAAATCTTTTCATCATCACAATAACAGAAGCAAAGCGTGTCTCTGCAACTGAAAGCAACTTCAAGCTGACAAACTCATTGAAAATAGCTAATCTCATTGAATGGTTCATGATGAAATTCTTTATTATTGTAACCTCATCAGCATAATCAAGAATCCAACCACACTCTGCATATGCAATTTCATTCTTTTCCACATTTTTTGCAGCACAAATATTTTTGAGGGCAAGATTAAGAGTATGGACCACACAAGGTGTCCAAACAATGTGAGGAAATTGCCCTTCAATTAGTTGTCCAGCAGCCTTGCAATTTGGGGCATTGTCTGTAATTACTTGGATCACATTTTGGGGGCCAACCTCATTTATGACTTCCTTCAACAAATTGGAAATGAAAAACTTGTCTTTAATTCCACCGGAACAATCAACAGCTTTCAAAAACATGGGACCTCCTTCTGTCATAGCCATAAAATTAATTAAAGGCCGCCTTTGTGGATCACTCCAACCATCACTTGCAATGCTAACACCCTTTGCCTTCCATGTACTCCTAATTGGTTGCAATAATCTATCAATATTTGCCTTTTCTTTTTGAAGTAGAGTGGTTCTCAATAGATTATAACCCGGAGGCAAATAACCTGACAGAGGATTATTTGCAGCATAGTTGTATGAACTCACATAATACGGGTTTCTTGCTAGATGAAACGGCAATCCTGCGGAATAAAACATCCTAGCAATCTCTGAGTGCAATTGTTCCCGAGCCTCATTATTAAATGCCTTCCCAATGGCACCCCCACTTGCCTTTCTTTTCTTTGGTACATAAGCCTCCTGAGTGAGACTAGTAGTACCACCCAATGATGCACTAGACGGCGGCAAAGGAACTTTTTTTGGTTTAGAATTTTTAATTCTCAATTCGGCTTCTTCAATTGCTTTTTGCATTTCTGCAATATTCTGATATGTGACTTTTGGACATATACGAATACCCATACCAGTGTTCTGCAACAAGTGGGCTTTAACTCTTGTATAAGACCCCCTGAATTCGTTATTACAAAAGTGGCATTTGAATAAAAAATTTCCTCCTCCACCACCAATTTTTTCTAATTGTGTGACATAGTTCCAAAGTGGTTTGTTATCATCTTGTTCGAATTGAGGAGTACAACTAGCAACTGATGTAGACAATGACATGTCTAATTCCCTAGACATAAAAAGAAAAGAAAAAAAATCCATACTTACAGCAGTCAGCAAAGAAAGAACAGTCAGCAAAGAAAAAATGAATTCCTATTTGCTACAGATTCATAAGTCATATGCAATAGCTGAAATTAAATCAAAGATGAAATCCAATTCATTTACAGGTCAATAAGTCACGACTCACACAAGCTAAAATTTAAAGCAAGAATAAAGACAACAGAGAAGAAGAAGAAGAAGCAGAAGAAAGAAATTAGGAAAGAAATTAAGGTCTGTAAAAAAGGAAAAATACCAGAAAAGAAGAAGACGGGTTTGTGAACTGGGGTTAGTGGAGAGGGGGGGGGGGGGGAGAGAGAGAAAAGAAAAAGAAAGAATTTGGGGTTTTGAAAAAGGAAAACAAAAAACAAAAAATAAAAAATAGATGAAGAAGAAAGAAACTGGGGTTAGTGAAAAACGGGGGAAAAAAAAAACAAAGGAGAGAGAAAAGAAAAAGAAAGAAACTGGGGTTTTGAAAAAGGAAAACGAAAAAAAAACAAAAAAAAAATAGATGAAGAAGAAAGAAAGAATCTGGGTTTGTGAAAAAGGAAAAAGAAAAAAAAAATGAAGAAGAAAGAAAGAAACTAGGGTTTGTGAAGAAAAAGAAAGAAAAGAGGAAGGAGGAGGAAGAAAAGAGAGGAGAGAGAGAGAGAAAGAGAGAGAGAGACTGACCTGGAGGCTGGAAGGAGTCGCTTTGATCTGCAGCATGAAGTTGCAGAGCTTCGTCGTCAGTTTGAGAGAGCACAACCCCCGTCCTTTGAATCTGATCTTGTAATAGTGTAATGACTGCCTTAAATATCTATCTCTTTTGTTTAAAATTACATATTAACCTTGAAAGTTTAAAATTATTATGTTCTGACCACATAAGTAAGTAAATAACTTTATATATTTGTACTTTAACCCAACTTTCTTTTAAAAATTATCTTTTAAACCCCCAAAAATAAGACACGCGTGTCGGACACACACCCTGGCGTGTCGGACGCGTGTCCGTGCCGTGTCCAATCCGTGTCCGAAAATTTTTAAAAAATAAAAAATTCCAGACACGCTTTTTGCCGTGTCCGACACGGATTCTTTGCCTATTTCGGAGTGTCCGTGCTTCCTAGCTTTTGACAAACCAGTGAAACACCATTTTTGAACCAAATGTGAAGGTTTCTGTTGTCAGCCGTGTCCGGTAGGGAAGTTGAAGCATCCGACACATATACCATGTCCATGTCGTGTCAACACGGACATCCTCGCCGGTTTCGGCAAGTCCAGGTAACATAGGTAATAGGAAACAACCCAACTCTGCACCCCAGAATATTAGCCAACCTGGCTATATCTTCAACCTGCCTTCCTAGAAGAACCTCTCTTTCCGAGGTTGATCTTCAGCCCGGAAATAGCCTGAAAGCAAACCAGCACACATCTCAAAAAACTCAACTGCGTCACATCCGCATCACAGATCTGGTGCTTTAATCCTTGTTATCTCACTAATGCATTAGACTACTGCAACTCTAACATCACAATTTGAATGCTTTAACAATTCTTCTTCAACTAATGCCTACATTACTCGAAAAAGTGTGGCTTGCATTGATTTGCATAGATCTCGGCGTAAATTGGAGAGGCCTATTTCCAATATGCATGCCGAGTTGTTCTAATTTTTCTGCAACCATCTTTGTTTCTCTTTCATCTTCATGCGAACCGTATATCTTCAACCTCCCTTAGTAGAAGAATCTCACTCCTCCCAAGGTTGATGTTTAGCCCGCAAATAGCCTGAAAGCAAACCAGCACACATCTCAAACACAACTGCATCAAATCCGCATCACAGATCTGGTGCTTTAATCCTTGTTATCTCACTAATGCATTAGGCCACTGCAACTCTAACATAACAATTTGAATGCTTTAAAAATTCTTCTTCAACTAATGCCTTCATTACTCGAAAAAGCGTGGCTTGCATTGATTGGCATAGATCTCAGCGTACATTGGAGAAGCCTATTTCCAATATGCATGCCAAGTTGTTCTAATTCTTCTGCAATCATATTTGCTCATCTTCACACCAACCATAGTTACTCTTAGTGTTCCAAAGCTGGTCTATCTTTTGGGTTTAGGTTCAAAAACTGGTCTGATTTGAATAATACAGCCTGGTTGGATAAAGTTAGGGTTCAAAAAGGTACTGGGTTTAAATATGTTTGGGCTTGTGTTTAAAGGGTTACACAATCTGGACTTCAATTATGGGCTTAGAATGAAAGGCTGAAACTATTGGGTTAAAGTATTTGGATTTGGGTCAGATATGAGGTTGGCCTATTTAGTTTTAATATGGGTTTGATACAAATCTGGGATTAGGTGAGGCTGAAATCTTAGACAAATCTGGGCAGGCTCAATTAAACATTGGGCAGCTTAATTTACATAAGTTCCTTAACTTGGGTTTGGACTCAAATTGGGATTGAAGATGATCATTTCTGGACTAGATTTGGGCCAATTTGGTAAAGCAATCTCGGTTGGACTTAAGAATATAAGTTATAAGAAAACTTCCTCCTTCAGAAATTGATCGTCACACTCGTCTATCTTCAAGCTGGTGGAAAATAACAAGGCAGAGACAAGACATCGACAATGAGGACTGACAGAGGCAATTAAAATTGCAGCATGATGGGGAGAGGCACAATGATGGTTGTGTCGAGGCTTATGGTTTGGAGTTATGGGTTGCGAGAAAAAGGTTTCGGCGTAGACTTGATGGGTTGTAAGGTTCCGACGTGGTTCCTAGAGTCTAGTGAAGGACTTTATTGACGGATTTAGGGTTTGCGAGTGAAGGTTATGGCTTGATTTTCCTGCGACCAGTTGTTAGCCAGCAGGGATCGATGCTGGGACTGCTCGTATTGGGTTCACAATGTTGGGGTTTGAGGGCTTGGTTCAATGTGGGTTTGTTTGAGTTGGGCATGAACAGAAGTGTTGGGGCTTGGCGAAAAACCGATGGTATGGGTTGTGTGGGTGTTTCGGCTGTGTGTGTTTGGGTTGCTGGCAGTGAGGGATTTTCCATGAGGGTGAGACAGTGGTGGTACGGTTCTAGGTTGAAATCAGCAGTTGTTGGTTAGATTTGATCGTGTAATATAAACTAAAAGGCCTTTGTGATAAGGAATATGATGGATCCTCTGCTCTGATTAGACTTTGAATTTTTGCTCTAATAAGGACGAGATGTGTTTTGATACCAAATTGATGTGGGACCGAGAGAAAGAAGAGAGAAGCAGAATTAGGAGAATGAAAATATCAATCCAATGTTATCAATTATCAATAATCATCAAAAGTTGTGAGCCCTATTTATAGGCAAAATCATAGGCAAACCCTAACAAATCCCAACTACTAATCGTTCAAATATTGCCAAAAATACAAGTACCAAAAATAAAGATTACTCCTAAATATTCTATTTCCTAGGGTTCTATATGTTAAGGTCCGGAACGGCCAGCACTTACCCGGTCGAGCCGGAATCTCAGTATAGCTGTCCGCAGGATCTTCACTGCATGTTGCCACTCCTCTCTCACTAATTGGTTTACCAACCATACAATCCATGCCATGCTTCCCATAGATCTCCATACTCTGAAGTGCCATGATATGCTTAACACACTGTCAAAATGACACAAAGTGGATACTTCCAAGGAATCCTTGTCCCTTCTCCAAGCAAAGGTGAGACTAGTGCAACTTATGCATACAAATCACGTCTTGATCCCAATCAGTGCACTTTTTGGGTTGGGCAGATTGCACTATATACCAATACATGAGTTTCAAGGCACCGTATTTTACTCCACAATGCTCAATGCACCAGTGCATTGCGTCAATGCAATGAACAACAGTATTTGGGCTTGGAGAAAAACTGATGGTATGGGTTGTGTGTGGATGTTTTGGCTGTTTGGGTTTGGGTTTGGGTTGCCGGTGGTGAGGGATTTTCCGTGAGGGTGAGACAGTGGTGGGGTGGTTCTAGGTTGCAATCAGCAGTTGTTGGTTGGGTTTGATTGTGTAAAATAAACAATACGGCCTTTGTGATAATCAGGTTATAGGTCCATGGCTGAAACCTGATTTTCCAGACCAAATTACTTGACAAAAGGCAGCACATTTTGACATGTCAGAATTGAAGGAAGAACTCAATTGTAACGATAGCTGAAACGACGACTTTGGAGTTGAATTACAATCTAAAGGTAGTGTTCACTGACACAAAATTTATATCAATAGATCGCTCACATAACATAAGTTATCTGAAATTTTGCACCATTCAGAGGTATTTCAGTGGATAAAATATATGAAGAAAACTTGAAGAAAAGGTCTGTAAGACTGAGCTTAGAAGAGGGGTTCAACGAACAGATTTTAAAAGATTAAAATCTAAAAATTTGAGGAATCAAGATATGTCCGATTGTGCTGACACTTGCCTTTCTATCTATGATAGTAACTAGTTGTTGACATCAAAAGTAAGAATTCTTGGGATTAATAAAGATTCTTAAGAGGATAGAAACCATTTGCATAAAGTATTATAGAGCATAAGAGATCTTCTTAATAATTTAACTCCTAATTAATAAAATAAGAATAAGAAGAATTTAACCACTAATTGATATGATAAGAAGAAGACAAATAATTGAATCTATTAAATGCTAAAGGAGTTGAAGTGACATTTGAAAGATGGATGAGCTACGTATGATTCCTATTGCTGGGTGGATGAGCTTCATACGATCCCTGTGGAGCCGTGGGTGAGCTCTGTGCGATCCCTATTGATGAATGGGTGAGCTCCGTGCAATCCCTATTGATATTTGGGTCAACTACATGTTATCCCTTTGCTGAACAAGCATGCCTATGATAGGTGAGCTATGTGCAATCCCAACTGGTTTGTCGTGGTAAAGAGTGATCATCACTTGGGTAAGTTCCGTACGATCCCAACCACGATGGAGTATATTGGTGAGTTGCTTATGGATCAGAATATTGGAGAGCTGCAGGTTACTTCCATATGATCCTGTATCAATGGTTTAGAGAGCTAGAGAAAACTTTTATGATGAGTTTCATACGGCACGTGTGGGAGAAAACATAATTAATAATTAATCAAGATGATTAATGATACTTGAAAATAATATATTGAGATAATAAATGAACTGAGGAAAGAAAAAGATATGAATACAAAGATTGTTGAGCTTGTGAATATAAGATTGATAATTCAAATATAAGTTGTGTTACTGGTTAATTACTTGTTGAGATGCGATCCTGCTGAGCTTTTGAGCTAACTCACACTTGGTATATGGATAGAAAGAAACAAAAGGCCTTTCTCAAATGAATACAAAGATATTGATTCCTTGAGACTGGTGATTACTTTCAGTAAATTTGATAATTCCATGTCTAACAGATGGTTAGTGAGGGAACAAGGCCTCCCAATAGTATACTTTGCAGTTTATGAGTGTTTTATCTGTGTTCTCATTGTCCTTCCCTTCTTCAACTTTGGATTCCATTATTGAAGCCAATCAGAAATCTGTACATTGGTTTTTGCATCCATAGACTTTTGTTAGCATTGTTTACTGGTCTATTTGCAGAGGTTCGTGCTAGTTAGTTGGATTCATGGATTATACGTATGCTAGTAAGCTTCTCAATTTGTATGCAGATCCGATTGGCAAGCTTTGATTTCTGTTCAATAATTTGATTTTACAGTCTCTGAGCTACCTATTATCGATTTTGATGTGGGGCTTATAGTCAGTTTCATT